TCGACCGGTAGATTTTTATCTGATTATACTGGTTTTATTGTTGAATGGAATTGAGTAGATATGAAGCATATTGTATATGAAGTTGTAACTTTGGATACAATTAATTGACTAGTTTCTTATGGATATGAACATAGTTCCCAAGTAATTTGTATTATTATTATTATTATTTCAATTCATAAAGATGAAATATGTTGGCAGTTGAGAGAGCAAATTCAACTGTGGGGCTAATTTGGGGAAAAAATATAGTGAAAGAAAACATTTTGTACGATTTGTCAAGTACAAGTCGGTGAAAGAAACCTTTTGTACTATCTGTAAGAAGTGAGATGTATTTTTTCAAGTCTACATATCTCTCTATTTTTGCATAAGCCTAAACAAACAAATACTGAATCAAAATAAAACCTCTTCATCAGGACATCTGCCTTTAACTTATGTTCAGTTTGGCAAAAACCTCCAACTAATTTCGAACATAAAACTAATACTAAGTCCTCGTGAGCTAACAAAATATTGGAAGACTACAAATTTCAAACTCTTCGTGCAAAAGCGCTATTTTTCCATTACTATTCCAACAATCACTAGAATGAACCTTTATCTGTATAAAAATACTCTCCAGCACTACACATTGTAGAATCCAGTATATTTTTCTAACCTCGAAGCTACAGAAGTGTTTATGTAGAAGAATCAAAATATGATCATCAATGAAATGCTGACCTAAAACTAGATATAGGGGTGGAGATTCAAACTCGCAACCTCTTGGTTGGAGGTATATGGCAATTACACTGTTCAGCTATGCTCACTTTGGTAAGTTATTATTATTTTGGAGTTGTGTGAATGTTTGGGATCATTGGATATTTACTTCTCCATGTGAATATTTATTTATTAGATTAATGAAATAATAAATTAAAACAGATGATTTAAACTAGTTTTTATTTCAGGTTTAACAGGAAGCCAATGGACTTTTTATTATTATTATTTTATTTTATAATGTTTTTTCTTAAACTATTTCCAAAAATATACTCCACCAAATTATTTCTAAGAATAGTGTTTGGAAAGTAGTTGGCCGTCTCTTTGAGGGATAAACGACATGCATGCAAAGTTGGTCTTTTAAAAAAAATGACCACGTGGTCGTCTTTTCAAAGACTATTTGTAATTGTTTTTTTAAGAACTCAACCCTATATGTCATAAGTAGAATATGAATTTTCATCGAAGTTATTGTTCTAATGAAGGGATCAAAAAACGAATGGTGAGTGATTGGCCAGTCGGAGATCGATGATTCAACACTTTATTGGGTTGCATAAAATGTCATGTTTGACTAGAATTCAAGATCCCATATTGTTGGGTTGGTGAGGAGTGCAAACAAAGTCCCACATTGATTAAGGAAGGAGGTGATCCATAGTATATAAGGAAGGACAATTATCTTCATTAGTATGTCGTTTTTTGGGTGAAACCAAAAGCAAATCTGTGAGGGTTATTTCAAAGTGGAAAATATCAACTTTTAAAAAATTAGATTTTTTCCAATACATCTCCCAAAGAAACAACATATTGAGATTTAGAAGAAAAAAAAAAAAAGTTAGTTGTGCATGTCAAAGAGACAACCATTAACCACCCTTTGATAATTCGGTAATTTTAAATATGAAATTTTCTTAAAAGATCCAAAATTTCAACACAACATAATTATTTTTCACAAAAATTCAGATATGAAAATCATACTAAACCATCTTTAAAAATGGGTAGAAACATATCATTTTTATGTAAAAAGTGTGTAAAATTTTTTTTATGAAAAAGAGTCCAAAATATCACAAAAAACTGTTTTATAAAATAAGAGATTCAAAGTAAGAAAATTTCTAGAAAATTTTTATGGCAGAACATCCTCAAATATTTTGTTCAAATTGAGAAGAGAAGGAAACAAAGACTAAAAAAAAACTTTTCCTAATAAATTGAACTAAAAGATTAAAGAAAAGAAAACAAAAACAATATAATGCTTTTTTTAAAAAAAGTATAAAAGAAGGAAGAAGAAAAGGAAATGAAAATGACAGGAAAAAACTTACTGTTTTTGGGAGA